TGAAACTGTTCAATCTGTATAGTCCAGCTTGAGGGGGAGTGTTGAATTAGTTAGAAGTTAAGATTATGTGGACTTAGTTAGAAGTTGTTTTAAAGTTGTTTAGATTTTGTGTTTAAATTTAGCAAATAAATCTCTTTTTTTGTTAGGGAAGTTAGGAGGTTATTCCTAGATTTTGTTTCCTCTTGTAACCTATAAATAGTGTCTCTATTCCTCATCTTTGATCAATCAATTTTGAGAATTTATTTCTTCTCTCTTTTCTCGTGTATGTCTCTCTGGTGTCTCTATCCTTAGTTTTTAGACCCCATGTGTATAGTAGGAAGAGGATTAGGGGGAAGGGGATTCCTATAAATTAGATCATGAGATAGCGTATTTGCAAGCGGGATCATATGTAACTAATGGGAATGTTGTGAGGTGGCTATTTAGGATACTTTCTGTGTATAGAGAGGTTTTTTATAAGGCTTTAGAAACCGACACCCAAAGAGAGGTACTCAAATATGTATTACATCCATAAAAAAATATAAGTAAACACAAATCCAATGTATTTCATAGAAAATTCTTCGTTTTTGTCCAATATTTTTTTTAATAATGTTCATGCATTAATATTATTAACCGGACACTCTAGCATAAGGTCGGTTTATTGGAGTATCACATTGTCAAATATCTATCAAACTTAAATGCTACGTAAACCAAAATGGTCATACTTCAAAAGAGCAGAACCTAATATCCAACTATTATCACCTGTTAGTAACAATATCCATCAATAACTCAATCTGTTGGCATAAGAATTTGATCAAGGTTTGGTCTTGGGTCTCGATTGGTGTAAATGTTACTATGCATCTTTTTTATCTTATACCTTGAATGTTCTTTTGATGAGCTGGAGGGCTTTTTTATTGATCTTCTCCTTTTGTATATTTCATCTTATCAATGAAATGTGTTTCTCATCACCAAAAGAAAAAAAGAAAAAGATCAAGGATTTATTTTATTTTATTTTTTTGATAACCAGGAGTTAGAGCTTTGCTCTCCTATACTTGGGGCACCCACGCCCGCCCCAAGAATTTGATCGAGGAATTTTAATTCAAGTGAAATGTCCTTTCTTTAGCCAAAACAATAATACTAGGAAACTTCTTGTAACAGTTTTACTACTTATATTATAAACAAATAACCCTTATGGAACAATGGATTAACCAAGACTTACCTATTCTTTAAGCTCATTAAAAAAAAGTTAAAAGTCTTTGATAAAACTGATTTGTTCAATCATCCAAGTCCTATACTGCAAGCCATGCTGGTATTACTCATTACCTCGGTCTCAAATCTCCCATTGATAATGTCAACAGCTTCCTTAAGCATGGCCACATCAACATCGCCATTTGGGAGTGGAACTACCATATTATCCAACATCATCCTAGTCAAGGACGTCTTCTTTTGAGTTGCATAGTGTAGTACCTCATGTACTTCCTCAAGAGTCCTGGTCTCAACCTGGAAATGGATTGAAATATAACCAAGAACAATAAAGTTCCATCGAACAATATTCAATAGAAGAACAAAAAGTAGCATTTGAAGTATATCAACAAAATAATCATAAACAATTGAGAAAGAATAGAAAGAATAGAACTCGGGTCTAAAAGCAAGCTATAATATATCAGAACAAACCATAGTGTACACTTATTTAATATTATATTTAACTACAAGCGCACATTCGATTATATATATATATATCTACAAGTGTCTAGGTCAATATATGCATCCCTCGAGGTACAATAACATTTGGTTAATGTCCTAGATGAGTGGCCACCATGGTTTAACCAAGCGCTGACATAGATCCATAGCAATGAAAGTTTCCACAAAAATAATGTAGTTGAAAGGTTGAAGAACCAAATTAATCACATAGAATCCCAAATTTTTCATTGGGAATTACAGTGCAAGGTCTTGGGAGTTGTGATGTGCATATAGAAACGAGTTTAAGCTAAATATTCAAGTAATAAAACGAGTTTAAGCTTCAGTTCTTTCTCTAAATCTGGGAAAAACAGCTCTCATTGGAATTAATGTGGCAAAGAATCAGTTGCAAGCTAAGGCTGCAGTCCTTGGATGCAAAGTGGAATGGCTTCCCTTCTCTACCTTGGTATACCCTTGGGAGGTAATTACAATAAGAAATCCTTCTGGGCTCCGATAATTGACAAAGTAAGGCAAAAGATTGATAAGTGGTAGAATCTTACTCTTTTTAAAGGTGATCGGCTAACGCTTGCTCAATCGGTCATTACTAGTAGTCCCCTTTACTTCTTCTCTGTCCTAAAAACCCCCGCGAGGGTTATAAAAGATATTGAGCAATTGACTAGAAATTTTTTCTGGAATAGAGGAACTTCGAAAAGCTCGTGCAGCCACCTAGTTAATTGGGGAAAGACGAGACTCCCTGTGGTCTTGGGATAGGAGCTTTGCAGCAAAAGAACAACAGTCTGCTTCTTAAATGGCTGTGGAGATTCACTCAAGAGCTGAATGCTTTATGGAGAAAGATTATTGTGAGTATCTACGGGGAAGAGGGACACAGCTGGGTACTCTTCCTCCCAAAGGCAAAGCAAAAGGGAGGCCTTGGTTTGATAGCAGCTTCTTCACCTGAGGATCCAGGAACAAGTGACCTTCCTATCGATCTTAGAAAAGGTAAGCGTAAATGTACTTATCCTGTTTCTTCTTTTGTCTCATATAACCATTTGTCCTCACCTACTTGTTCGTTTCTTGCATCCCTTGAGTCTGTATCTGTTCCTAAAACTGTTCATTAAGCTTTGTCTCATCCTAGTTGGCAGGCTCCTATGTTGGAGGAAATGACTGCCTTAGATGACAATGGTACTTGGGATTTAGTGTCTCTTCTTGCAGGAAATAAACCTATCGGTTGTAAATGGATGTTTGCTGTTAAAGTTCATCCTGATGGATCCATTGCCCATTTGAAAGCTCGCCTTGTTGCTAAAGGATATGTGCAGACTTATGGAATTGATTATAGTGATACTTTTTCTTCGATTGCTAAATTGGCTTCTGTTAAGTTATTCATTTCTTTGGCATCTATTCACCATTAGCCGTTACAGCTTGATATTAAAAATACCTTCCTCCATGGTGATCTTCAAGAGGAAATGTATATGGAGCAACCACTAGGTTTTGTTGCTCAGAGGGAGAATGGAAAGGTATGTCGTCTTCGTAAATCCTTATATGGGTTGAAACAAAGTCCACGAGCATGGTTTGGAAAATTCAGTCAGATGGTTGAGAACTTTGGAATGAAGAAGAGTAAGTCGGATCATTCTGTCTTTTATAAACAAACTGAGTCTGGTGTTATCTTACTGGCTATATATGTTGATGATATTGTGATTACTGGTTATGATTCATCAGGCATCCTATCACTCAAAACTTTCCTTCATAGTCAATTTCATACGAAGGATTTGGGAGTGCTGAAATATTTCTTAGGAATTGAGGTAATAAGGAGCAAGAAGGGGAAAGTTAACTAAAATAGGAAAGTTAGCTGCTAAGCCACGTAGTACCCCAATGATACCTAATTTGCAACTTACAAAGGAAGGGGAGTTGTTGAAAGATCCTGAGAAGTATAGGAGATTAGTAGGGAAGCTGAATTATCTTACGGTTACAAGGCCAGACGTAGCTTATCCAGTCAGTATTATGAGTTAATTTATGAGTTCTCCTACGACTGACCATTGGATCGCATTGGAACATATTCTATGTTATTTGAAAGGTGCTCCTGGACGTGGTTTGTTATATAAAGATCATGGTCATCTTAATATTGAATGTTTTTCAGATGCTGATTAGGCAGGTTATAAGGAAGATAGAAGATCAACCTCGGGATATTGTGTATTTGTCGAAGGTAATTTAGTTTCTTGGAAAAGTAAGAAACAAAACGTGGTGTCGCATTCGAGTGCTGAATCAGAATATAGAGCTATGGCACAGACAGTGTGTGAATTAGTATGGATACATCAGCTTCTGACTGAATTGGGATTTGGCATCACCACTCCAATGAAACTTTGGTGTGATAATCAAGCAGCTCTTCATATTGCATCTAATACAGTATTTCATGAACAAACAAAACACATTGAAGTTGATTGTCATTATGTACGTGAGAAAATACAGCAAGGATTGGTGGCTACAGGGTATGTGAAGACTGGAGAGCAGCTAGGAGATATCTTTACTAAAGCATTGAATGGAGCACGAATAGATTGTTTGTCTAACAAATTGGGCATGATTAATATATATGCACCAACTTGAGGGGGAGTGTTAGAGTATAGATATTAGTATATTTTATATTCGTATATTAATATTAATTTGTCCTTTACTTTCTCTTTATAGGATTAGGTCAACCTTGTATATTTGTCTATATATATAGACTTTAATAATGAGAATACATAACATTGGATTCTCTCCAACCTTAGTCTCTACAGATATCATGAAGAATAGCAGATTTTTTTCTGAGTTCCTTGACTTCAAAGTGCGAAAAGGGAATCGTATCAAGTTCTGGTCGGATAAATGGCTAGGACAAAGAGCTCTCCAAAACTCTTTCCCGGACTTGTTTAATCTCTCCACGAAGAAAGGGGCCATGGTGGCAGAGTGCTGGAATAGTGCAGAGAATGATTGGGACTTGGGATTCATAAGGGGTCTCTTTGACTGGAAAATCGAAAGTTGGATAAGCCTGATTCAAGTCATTGATGTGGTGCATCCAGGGGAAGGGGAGGATTGGGTTGGATGGTCTATAGGTAAAGGGGGAATGTTTTCTACTAGGTTAGCCTGTATGAAAATGGTGGAATGCACCCCCTTTTTGAAGTCTGCTCTTATTCAAGCAATCTGGAAATTTTCTTCACCAAGAAAAGAGAAGGTTTTCTTATGGTCCCTAGCACACAGAAGCTTGAACACCCATGAAAAACTCCAAAAGAAGTGCACAAACTGGGTGTTATCCCCCTCTGTTAGTAGCTTATGTATGTCTAACACTGAGTCAATTGACCATATGTTCATTCAATGCTCATTCGCGGCTCGTGGTTGGCTTTTTCTTATGGATATTTTTGGTATGTCAACTTGTTTCCCTAGTCGTATAGATGATTGGCTAATAGAGGTTCTTCATGGTTGGAGTCTCCCTTAAAAAGCAAGGTTTTTGCGGTGGTGTGCTTCGAGAGCTCTCCTTTGACATCTTTGGTTGAAACGAAATCTTCGAGTCTTTGAAGATAAGTCTTCCTCTTTCGAGATTTTTTGTAGAAATGTATAGCACACTGCGTCTTGGTGGTGCATCAACTATAGCAAATTCTTTTGTAACTACAACCTTTCCATGGTTTTGAACAATTGAAAAGTGATTGTGTAATCCTTTTGGGTGGGGTTTCCTCTACCCAGCCCTTAGGTTGTTCCTTTTTGTTTTCCTCATGGAATATACAAGTTTCTTATCTAAAAAAAAATATCTAAAAATAAAATTAAAAAGGTGTTGGAATCTCAAAAGTTTTCCAACTTATTCATCTCCTACGTGTATATATATGGAGTTCCACTCTATTCTTTGTTATACGACAATTTAGCTCTCTCTTAATTTGGTTCTTTTCATGTCTTGATTTCTACTTCTATTTTTTATAGATTTAGCAAGGTCATATTACACAATGACCTAACATATATTAAGTATCTCAATTTATAGGAGTTTCCAAGTGGTGTTGTTCATAGTTTGATCTCATATGTCAATCAAAGATGAACAATCTTTGAGAAATGTTTTTTGAAATACAGGTACGAATCCCTGATTCCCCTCTACTCTATAAGTGTTTATAACTTATTGTACCACTAGTATATATGAAATTGATTCATTAAAGTAAAATACAAAGTTTATTTTAAAAAATGGTTAAAGAATTGCTGATTAGTGAAGGATAATTTTACCACTAGTATATATGAAATTGATTCATTAAAGTAAAATACAAAGTTTATTTTAAAAAAGGGTTAAAGAATTGCTAATTAGTGAAGGATAAAAGTTTTTCGAGAAAATTAATTAAGCCAATCACATTAAAAAAAACCACCATTATCCATGGTTATCCAATAATCCATCATTTTTGTATTGTTTTGGATGTCCGTATAGCAAGGATCCCAAATCATGCAAGATTACCACACAGAATGCAGCAATATGAAAGCTCACTCTTTGGACATCTACGATTACTAAACAGGCTTCTTCAGGACAATACAAGTCTTTCAAAAATCGAGGAGGTTGTTCTTGCAGAGGAAATCAACAAGAAAGATACTAGTGAGGCTGCTACTTTTGGTTCTCCCATGCATGTTAAAGGGCTATAAGAACCTTAACTAGTGAGGCTGCTACTTTTAGTTCTCCCACTAATGTCAATGGGAGAGAGGCTGCTACTTTTGGTTCTCCCACTAATATCTAATCCTTTGTGGATTAGTGCTTTATTGGGTAACATGGGAAATTTGGTTGAAAGAAGTAAAGGTAGGAGGATCTTCCAGGAGCACGTAGAATTTTAAGAAGAAACTAAGGATGTCAAATTACCTCGTCCCATTGCTCCTCTTCGAGGGCTCTCTAAAAAATTTGTTATGATCATTCTCTCTTAATTGATTTAATTCATGTCAATTAAGGTGTTTGTATGACCTATCTTGTGTTGGTTAGGTTGGATATGCTATCTTTCTTTCCTCTTGAAATTTTTCAATTTAATGAACTTTTTTCCTATTAAAAAAAACAAAGTATTTTTGTCGCATCAACTAGTCAGAAGGAACTCCTAGCAATTTGGAGAAACGGAAGATAATAAATACAATATAATAATTAATAACGAATAAAAAAATTCAAAATAGCTAGAAAAACAATTGATGAAAAGCTTATAAAAAATATTAAGAGTACGGAAAATACCTCAACGTCCATTTTAAGATTTCTTTGTTGCAGATACAAGTCAACAGATTTAATGGCATTTATAATGCTTCCAGCTGCTGATATATGATTATCTTTTATCAACACCATATCAAATAGCCCCATCCGGTGATTTTGACCTCCACCGATTAACACCTGTAAAATATCAATAAATAATAAGTGTAGAAGGCCAAAAAAAATGTACTGAATAAATAGAACCAAGGAAGTGATCTACACCGCCCACTTATCCACCAAACGTAAGCCTGGGGCTGTTTTCCTCGTTTCCAGAATACGTGCAGGGCTTGCAGCATCTGCCATTGCCTGCAAAATCATGGATGCCATATACTTCTTAATACTAACTGAAACACGAAATGAACAAAAAAAAAACTATAAAATCCAAGTGTACTAGACACTAGGGACTGGTCTGATCTTTTCAGAAAATGGCCACAACGATCAGTTTTATATATATATATATATATATATATATTTTGGATACAGACATATATTCAAAACAGCACCAAAAAGGATGAACAACCCAAGGGAAAAGGGTTGAGAAAACCCTCCCCTAAACACTAAACGATAGGAGCTTTCCAATCATTTACAATGGAATTGAAGCTATAGTTACAAAAAAAATATCTTGTGGTTCGTGATTCACCAAAAAGCAGTATGTACACTAGTGCAAAAATATCCTCCAAAGAACATTTTTCTTCAAAAAGCATACTATTCCTCTCTTTCTAAAGGAGCCATAATAAAGCCCTAGCTCCACAGTTCCAAACTATTTGAGCTTTTCCTTTGAGGAGCGATCCACCAAAAAACTCCAATAGGCATTCATAATTCTTTCTAGGCAAGCAAAAAGAGATGCCAAAGCTAATGAACAATGATATACTCTAGCAGTTATTTTAAAATATATATATATATCTTCAGTATTTTCTTTGCTAATTAATGAAACTAAGAACCAGAAAAAGACAGGAGTTAAAACATGGACACTATGACACCTCACTTCTCTAAAAACTCAGACAGAAACATCGCCGGAGACTAGATGACTAAAGTACATTAGCATATGCAAACATATTTCAATAAGGACCGATTATTAGATAAATAAAACATCAAAACTGTGTAATAATAATCATGTCATGCTAAAATTAGAACAACATGATGGTTGAAAATTTAAAATAACCTTAATACAAATACCCGGATATCCTAGTTAATTAAATAATTTTCATTCAAATACTATTGTGAAGATGTTAGATTATTTAAAGAACTGATTTGAAGAAGCAACAATTTCTCCTAAAATTACGTATTAGGTGCAATGGGCCATGAATAACATCCAGGACAGAAGGACAGATACTTGTCTATTTGAGAGCCACATCACGAAGAAAAAGATAATCATTTAATTTTCTTTCGGAATGAATATTCCGATCCATTTTAATATTGCACGGAAGAAATTGTTACTATAAGTTACTTCTTGATTGCATCATAAAGGAAACAAAGGTACCTTAGTTAAAGTTGCAATTCCACTCATCCTCTGCATAAAGTTTAGTGCCACCCTTTCAGCTATAAGGATGCTTCGTGCCTGCCCTGCATATAAAACATTTTAGGAAATTTTCATTGATGAGAATGTTTTCCTCTATTTTCGTATAAAAAACAGAAATGGATGCATGATATGGACATACAGTATACCATTTTCCACTAAATAAGGATGCAGATATATTAAAAACACATTTAATAAAATATATAATTTTATACTTTTACATATTTAACGCTCTCAATATCAATATCTATATAGTTATATTGTCATTTAAATGAGACTTTTTTAAAAATTTAGGCATCATTAAGTAAATTATCACTTTTTGTAGAGAAAACATATTCCAACCGAATAAATTCCACTAAAAGGCCAAAAAATCTTTCAAATTTAAATTTGTCAAATAAATTTCTTTTTAAATAAAAGAAAAAAACTTTAATTGAGATCGAAGAAAGTTCACAAAAGAGTACCGCAAAAGAAAAATATAGGAGCCCACAAACAAAACAATAACAATTATAGAAAACAATTCTAATTGTTAAGAATATATATATATATATATATATTTATTTATTTATTTATAAGAAACATCGATGATATTAATAGCAAAGAACCTCAAAGGAGGGGAAAGAAAACCTAGGGCAGAGGATAGAGAGAACCCTCCCCTAAAGACTATACCATCACAATTTTCCAATCTTGCAAAATCAAAAGAAGACTGTAATTACAAAAAACTTTCTTATGGATAGTAGCCCACCAAGCCGTATGCTTGATATTCACAAAAAAAGAATCTATAGGAACAACTTTGTCCTAAAAAATTCTGCTATTTTTATTTCGCCAAAGGAGCACCCTCACTGCACAATTCCAAAGGACATAAGCTTTTCCTTTGAGGGCATTACCACCAAAACCTTCAGCTATGAAATCATCTATATTCCTCGGGAGACAAAAGGAGAAGTCTAAGACAGAAGCCACAAAATTCCAAGCCTGTGATGCATACAAGCAGTGTAAAAAGAGATGGTCCACACATTCTGAATTTTACAAACACATACCACAAATGCTAGGGGAAAGAGCCCAGTAGGGAAGCTTTTTCTGTAGATGCTCTGCTGTATTGGTTCCTCGGTAGAAAAGAGTCCATAGGAAGGCTTCTACCTTCTTCGGGACTCTAAAGTTCCAATTCCAAATAAGGGAAGTTGTGGCCGTGTTTAGTGTATGGGAAGGGGTCGTGATGGCCAATAGAGCTGACTTGACAGAAAACACTCCTTTGCTGTCTGCTTTCCACCATATTCTATCCTTGCCTTGGCCGAGGATCACCCCATCCAGCTTCTTTGTTAGTGCAGCCCATCTATCAACCTCCCTTTCGAAAAGGTTTCTTACACCCGGGGTTAAGAATATAAAAGAAAGGATAAGCACCAAAAAAAAACTTACACCCGTGGTTAAGATGAGACATTCCCAGACCTCCTTAATTTTCTCTAAGTAGATTTCCACAAAATAGCAAAGAAACCAGCTACTATTACAAAAAGGAGTATGAATAAGCACCTCTTGACAACCTCCGTTGGAAGCCAAACTAACACCAAACATTTCAAGAGATATATCCCAAATTTTCATACCAACGTGCACCTTCTCCCATAATACATTATACATGATCCAAATCTTTTGGTGCCCTCTAACACCAAACGTACCACTAAGAACCCAAAACAATAAATGAAGATCTTTGGACAAGGCTCGTGGTGTGAATCCTCCCCAAGTGATTTGAATACGTTGGAATCTCCAACATATTCAAATCACCAAGAGACCAAGCAAGAGAAAAATCTTATCTTCCGACTTCAGCCTCCAAGAGATTGACAAAGAAAATGGTGAATAACGAAAGATTTACAAGAGAATGTGGGTGAAGGCTCAAAAGTTCACATGCAATAGTCACTAGAGTTGGGAAAGAGATGGACTCTGGGCAACAAGGAGAACAAAACGAATAAATCCAAGATTCATATTCAAAAAATGGTCTTCTAAAATGAAAATGGTGGGTAAGGGAAGAAGAATCCTCCTTTTTCTTTTTCTTTTTCTTTTTTTTCTTCTTTTTTTTCTTTTTTTATAACTGGGAGTCGGAGCTTTGCTCCCCTATACCCAGGGGCACCTGCCCCAAGACCTAGGCCCAAGAGATATTAAGTGTTTTTTTATATTAAGCTCACTAGAAAGTTCAAACTTGAGACCTCTAAGCCAGTATGACCAAGAGACCCCGAGTCCCTGTTGGGAAGAAGGATCATAATTTAAAATGCAAAATTAAGTTAATAAATAGAGAGAAATGAACTTTAATGAAGAAAGAGAAAAGACTGATATGTTGGCCAATGAAATTACGATTTCGGTAGATCTGAATTCCCCTTTTAAAAACAAAACAGATGGAGATTTAGAGAAAAGAGCCAAGGAAACTCTTATTTTAAATTCAGTAATCCCGCAGATAGCGCTCTGTGACAAATCATCACATAATCGTATCCCACCATTGCCCTTTTCCTATTCAAGGAAAAAATCAAAATCTAGATTGACCAAGGATCTCGGTCTTATTTATTCAAATCAGGAGACTATCTCGATGTTAAATAAGGCGACCATTGAAGAAGAGGAACTTTCTGAACTACTGCCAACTAATTCAAACCCTAAAGATGATCCAAACCCTTGTATTATACAACGGAGTTTGCGGAATTCTTTTAATATGGGAAGTGAGCAAGATCTGGACAAGAAAGAGAAAATTAGTAATTTTCCGTACCTAAAATTCGGCTGCATTTATTCAACCAAAAAGCAGCCATCTGAATTAAATATGACTGAATCTTTATTCTCGGATGATGAGGAAGGTCTAAACATCAGCATCAGTAGTCAGGATTCTCCACCTTTTTTGAATATTCACGCAGAATGTGCAACGGATCTTGCTGAATTTTCCTTGAATGGTGAGTTGACTAATCTTTTCGACCCTCCCCTATTTTCTCCAGCTACA